CACAAATTTTTTTCTCCAAAATGCTAACATTACCCTTGTTAAAAATTTCACACGATTCATTTTCTCTCTACATTAAACATAGGGAGTTTTTTTAATAAATTCATTTTCTAAGAGCTTTATTCTATCCAACCCATATTCTTTTTGACTATTCCATTAGGTCCAATTTGAGATAAGAAGACCAAAATACCCTTTTCATCTACTTATGTTGCATTTAGTTCACATTATTTTCTTATGTTTCAATAAGTCCTATGGGTGACATAATTACCAAAATACCCTTAATGTGAATGTTCACACCGTCAATATAAATGTTTATATCGTCAATGTGTAGGGGCCCCGCTCATGTGGATCCTCGTGGGTGCCCGGAAAAATTCGAGTCGGGCCGGGCCGGCCCACAAGCCAAAAAAATAGGCCCAACCCGGCCCGTATTGACAAGTTAACATTCACATTGATAGGAGTGTAAAATTGGCCTGCGGCCCGTGGGCGACCCGAAACCAGCCCGTCGCCCGGGGCGGGCCCGAGCCGGCCTGTTCACAATATGAATATTCACATTGACATATTAACATTAACATTAACATTGAAAAGAGTGTAAAACTGGCCCATGACCCGTGGGCAACCCGAAGCCCGGGTTGGGTGGGCCCGGCCCGGCCCGTTGACAATGTGAATATTCACATTGACATGTTAATATTCACATTGATAAGAGTGTAAAATTAGCTCGCGGTCTATGGCCGGCTCGAAACCCGCCAGCGGCTCATGGGCTGCCTTGGATGGGCCCGGCCCGACCCGTTGATAATGCAAATATTCACATTGACATGTTAACATTCACATTGATAAGAGTATAAAATTAGCCCACGTCCCGTGGCTGCCCGAAACTAGCCCACGGCCCGTGGGCAGGCCCGACCCGGCCTGTTGACAATGTGAATATTCACATTGACATATTAACATTCACATTGATAGAAGTGTAAAATTGGCCCGTGGCCCGTGGGCGGCCCGAAGCCCGCCCGCTGCCCAGGGTGGGCCTGGTTCGGCTCGTTGACAATGTGAATATTCACATTTACATATTAACATTAACATTGATAAGAGTGTAAAATTAGCCCGTGACCTGTGGGCAGCCCGAAGCCTGGCCCCGGGCCGACGCGGGCCCGGCCCGTTGACAATGTGAATATTCACATTGACATGTTAACATTCACATTGATAATAGTGTAACATTAGCCCGTGCCCCGTGACTGCCCGAAACACGCTTACGGCCCGAGGGGGGCCGACTCGGCCTGTTGACAATGTGAATATTCACATTGACATGTTAACATTCACATTGATAAGAGTGTAAAATTGACTTGCGTCCCATGGGCGGCCCGAGGTGGCCCGAGTTTGGGTCCGGGCCTACCCCGGGCCGCGGACGAGTTTCGGGCAGCGGACAAGTTTTACACTCCTATCAATGTTAATGTTAATATGTCAATGTGAATATTCACATTGTCAACGGACCGGATCGGGCTTGCCCCGAGCCGCCCATGGGACGCGAGTCAATTTTACACTCTTATCAATGTGAATGTTAATATGTCAATGTGAATATTCACATTGTCAACGGACCGGATCGGGCTTGCCCCGAGCCGCCCATGGGACGCGAGTCAATTTTACACTCTTATCAATGTGAATGTTAATATGTCAATGTGAATATTCACATTGTCAACAGGTCGGGCCGGGGCTCGCCGGGCTGCGCTAGCGGGCCCGTGGAACGGGTTTCGGAAGCACGGGGCGCGGGCTAATTTACACTCCTATCAATGTGCATGTAACATGTCAATGTGAATATTCACATTGTCACGGGTCGGGCAAGAACCCGCCTCGGGCTGCGGTCGGGCTTCGGGCCGCCACGGCTGCGGGCCAATTTTACACCTTATCAATGTGAATGTTAACATGTCAATGTGAATATTCACATTGTCAACGAGCCGGGCCGGGCCCGCCCCGGGTCGCGAGCGGGCTTTTGGTCGTCTATGGGCCGCGGACCAATTTTATACTCTTATCAATGTGAATGTTAACATGTCAATGTGAATATTCACATTGTCAACGAGCCGGACCGGGCCCGCCCATGGGCCGCAGGCGGGTTTCGCGCAGCCACGGGACGGGGGCCAATTTTATACTCCTATTAATGTGAATGTTAACATGTCAATGTGAATATTCACATTGTCAACGGGCCGGGCCGGGCCAAGTCGGCCTCGCCCTGGGCTGCTGTCTAGTTTTATACTCTTATCAATGTGAATGTTAACATGTCAATGTGAACATTCATATTGTCAAAAGGCCGGGCCAAGCCCGCCCACGAGCCGTGGACGGGTTTCGGGCAACTACGAGGCGTGGGCTAATTTTACACTCCTATCAATGTGAATGTTAACATGTCAATGTGAATATTCACATTGTCAATGGATCGGGTCGAGTCTGCCCCGGGCTGCGGGGGGCTTTTGGTCGTTCATGGGCCGCGGCCCAATTTTATACTCTTATCAATGTGAATGTTAACATATCAATGTGAATATTCACATTGTCAACGGGCCGGACCGGGCCCGCCCCGGGCCGCCCATGGGCCGAGGGCAGGTTTCACGTCGCCACGAGACGAGGGCCAATTTTACACTCCTATTAATGTGAATTTTAACATGTCAATGTGAATATTCACATTGTCAACGAACCGGGCCCACCCTGGCTCGCTGGCGGGTTTCGGGCCGCCCACGGGCCAATTTACATTCCTACAAATGTGAATTTTAAAATATGAATGTTCACATCATTAAATTGCTAATCGTTGAAAAAATATTTATAAGGGTATCAAAATTAAATATAAGGGCATAAGTGTCCAAGAAAATAGTGTAAATCAAGAAAATGGACTTTATGGAATAAAACTATACATACATGGGACTAAATGGGTTAAAAAATTCTTTCATGGACTTCTTGAATTAAAACACTTCTAAATTGGACTTATCAATAAAAATCCCTTAAACAATTTGGATATTTAATTCTCCTATAAAACTAATATATTTTCATGATATCTCCAATAATGAAAGAAAAATAAATTTTCTTTATATAAAATTATATCTTCAATACTTTGATTGATTCTAGATAAACCCGATAAAATTAGATTCGATTCTCAATTTAAGCTAGTCTAAGATCCAAACCTATATTTATATATTGCTTCAAATTATATATATGTTGAGTTGTCTTTTTATAATTAGCATAAAGTGTGGACAATGCTACACCTAGCCACACCATTGCAAGAGAAAATTTATGACATATCAGACTTATTTCCACAATTCTTTGTTTTGTTCGTCTGTGTTATGTTAAAATGTTCAACACTTTTGTACTATAATTATTTATATATAATATTATGGAGTCTTTTGAGAAACTGGCAAAAAGTCAACTTCTAGTTTTTTACTCATTTTAAGTCATATCATCTCTCATATAACTTATTCGCAAAAAGATAAAATAAGCTAAAAAAAGTCAAAAAATCAGTTTTTTATCAATTTCCCAAAACATCACCTTTATCTACCATGAATTTATTCAGAATTATTATTTTGTGACTCAGCTTTATTTTACACATAGACTTACACTACACAAATTCAATCACAACCACACAATCTCATTCGGGCCAAATTCGAAATAGATAAAGATGGGTACCAAGAATTATTCATCATTTTTATTGTTGATTTATTTTAAGAAAATTTTGATGATGCAATGTCGAAGGCTGTGTTTTTTAAATCAACAATTCATTTATTTTCAATATAGTGAAATTGTCGATTGGTTTATTTTGGTTTGGGTTGATTCACTTTCCCCTAATTTGCCTTTGTATGAGCCTCCGTTTGGCAAAGACTTTTTCAGGCTTTTTTGACTATTTTAGCCACAAAAAACAAAATAGGCTATTTTAGCCATAACAAACAAAACATCACATCCAACCCATAATCATTACATCATTCTCTCACAAAAAAAGTCAAAAAAGCCAAAAAGCCAAAAAGCCCTTCCCAAACCAAGCTTTTTAGCCCAGGCTAAAATAGCCAAAAAAGCCAAAAAGCCAAAAAGCCAACCTACTTCCCAAACGGAGGCTGAATATGTTGAAATACAACTGATTGGAGATAAAATATGAAATTTTATTTATTCCAGTATATGTATACTACGTATATAGATAGACTGGTGAAGGGTAATTTGGAAAGCTAGCTAAAAAGTTAGTTTTTAACTTTTAATTTATTTTGGATTAAATTATCTCTCATATTTTTTACACATAAAAAGATAAAAATTAAAAAACTAACTTTTAACTAGCTTCTCAAATCACCCCCTATATAGCGTGAGGATCCTCTAGAGTTTCTTCTCTAGAGTGATCTCTCTAAAGTTAGATCCAACGGTTGATATTAAGGGATAGAAAATGACGTCGTTTTGATATTTAAAAAAAAAAAAAAAACACAACGACAACAAACCATATGTTGTCTCTGTTCTGTTCTTTGTTTTCTTCCCTCAAAACCCTAACTCCCTTCAACAGCAAAGACAGTTGCAGAATACAAATTGAAGCCTTCAAATCATGGGTTATCTTCTACAAGCTAAAATCATCAGCAATCAATGAGTATTTCAGGACCTGTAAAATTTATGTTTCTTGGATACCCACTGAGAAAATAAATTCTATCTAACAAATTTTCTTTTCTTTTGTGTTATTTTATTTTTCTGGGTTTGTGAATGACATACTTGGAATATTCAGAAATTTGATTTGGGTATTTCACAAAGTTTTTCATTTTTGGTTGTTGAAAACAGTCAGAAATCAATGTTTTAAAAAGATTGAACCAAACTAGTGGTGTGTAATTAAGAAAAGGTTTGAAGTTGAAGATTTTTTGGTGGAGGAAGAAGGGGTGGCGGTTAGTGGAAGAAAAAGAAGCTGGAGATAGCTCTGGCGACTGAGAGGGAGGAATCCGACGATGCTGGCAGAGAATCCATCCCTTTTCTCACTCTGTTTGTGTTTTGTTGTTCTTCTCTCTCCCTCTTCTTGTCTCTCTCTCTCTCTCTGTCTCTCTCGGTGATGGAAGTGAAACCCAATAGCAAAAGAAATTTGAATTTTTTATTTCTTTTTTTTTTTTAAAATTACTCACCAAAATCTTAGCCCTTGGTTCGCTAATGGGCCACGTATCGGCTCATTATCTTTCACTGTAGGAGATGACTTTAGGGATAACACTCTAGAGGATCCTCACGCCCCTATATATACTAACATCCTTCGTGGGGAAGAATATAAACTAATTGAGTTTGGAAATTAAGGCCGAGTTTGAAAATAAAAAATGTTTTGGAAAGAAGGTAAAAAGTTAACTTTTGGCTTTTTATCAAACCCTTTTGACTATTTTAGAAAGTGATTTGAGAAGTTGGTAAAAAGTTACTTTTGACTTTTTTAGTTAATATTTATTTATGATGTCATATCACAATAAAATGACCAAACCACCCCACTCAATTTAAAAAATTTAGGTTGTGTTTGATAGAGTTTTGTAAATATGATTTTAGAGTATGAGTTATATTTTGAGTTTGTGAGTTGTGGAATTATGATTTGAGTGTAGAAAATTTGTTTGGTTGTGGTTTTTGAATAGAGTGTTGAATTGAGTTTTGAAAGTTTGATTTGACATGTGAAGTAAGAAAATTTGTTTGGTTATGAGTTTTGGAAAGAGTTTTTAAGACTTAATTCAAATTGTTATAACTTATAACAAAACACACTACTTTCACACTATTAAAAATTCTGACCAACACTCATAACAAAACTTTTTTTAAAATTCAATTAAAATTTTTTATTATCAACAGAAAATAACAGTAATCAATTTTTTTTTATTGAAAATACTACAAAGGAAATAAATTTTTTTCAAAATAAATATTCAAAAAAATATTAAAATATTTAAAATATTAACAAAATTAAAATATTTTTAAAATATTCAAAAAATTAAAATATTGATTTGAACTGAGTTTTGAAAAAAGTTTTGAATTATGTGTTTGGTTATGGGTTTTTAAAAGTAATGATTATATTTTGAATTGAGTTTTAAGAAATGGGTGTAGAATTATGATTTGAAAGCTCAAAATAAACAACACACTCAAATCAATGGGTGAAGCTATAATTCAAAACGCTTACTAAACGGAGCCTTACATTTTCACTTATGTATAATCTTAAATAATATAAAGGGTATAATTAAAATTTTATATGTAATTTTTTTTCACCTTGCCAAAGACTTTTTGCCAAAAAAATCAATGTAATTTTTTTGACGACAATGCTACGTAGCTCAAATTTTGTGGCTCAAAAGTGGCTCAAATGGCCAAAACGACGTCGTTTTGAGTGCAGAACAACATAAAAATGGCCAAAACGACGTCGTTTTGGCCATTTGAGCCACTTTTGAGCCACAAAATTTGAGTTACGAGACATTTTCCTTTTTTTGAAACCAAACTGTAAACGCAGCTTTTTATCATGTTACCAAAAGAGTGCTAAGTTTTTTTTTTTTTTAAATTAAATTATGACAAAAAAACAGAGCATAACTTTTAGATATCTCTTAACTTTATACAAAAAGATGTTTAAAAAGTTTTTTTAATAAAAAACTTTGACTTTCTTTAGATTGCACAAGCGAATTTTTACGTCATGTAATTTCTTGAAATATATTATATTGCTAATATAATAACATCACATTAATAATTCTCTTCAATTACTTCGATTATATTAAACATGGTCTGTATTAGGAGTGTAAAGCAAACTAGACTATTCAAATTTAGGTCAAGTTTGATATACACAAAATAATTCATCATTTTATCTTTTTATCTTTTTTCCATCACATCATTTCTCTACTTTTTTACACATCTTTTCGTAAAAAAATAAAAAGTACACTTATTTAAATCATCTCAAATAATCTCTTAATTTGTGCTCGACTCGTTAAAAACTTAATTAAAATAAATTAAAATAATTGTAATAGAAACTTTCACATATACATAATCTCACAACCCTACTCTCATTCAAATCATTTATAATGTAGAGTCCACACAAACGGAAGGAATTCCACGCACATATAAACGCCAAGATCAAATCAAAAGTCCAGGAACGAGGTCCCAAACATTTATGTGGATCAATGTGTAAACGTGTAACAAGGAGGGGGGGCTGTTGCGCACCTAAACAATCTCACCGACAGCTCATTTAAAGCTTTTGGTAATGGAATTATTTTGAGAGGTTAGTTAAAACTAAGTTTTTAATTTTTTATATTTAAAAAAAATATATATGTAAAAATAGAGAGATAATAAGTTTGTTTGGTTTTGATTCTTAAAAAATATATTTTTTAAAGAATTATACTTTTTTATTTTTCATTTTTTTCTTTTCAATTATTTTTAAAAATATTTTAAGTATTTCTTTTTAATTTTTAGACATACCTAACATAAATACATTTAAAAAATATAATATTTATGAAAAAATATTTTAAAAATTTATTAAATACCAAAAATATAAAAAAACCGAAAATTCAGTACATTTTTTACATTTTTGTGTATTTATTAATTTGTTAAGATATTTTTTTATAAATATTTTACTATTTAGAGATATCTAAGTAATGTACATCTTAAAATTTTTTAAAATTTCTTAAAATTTTAAAATTATTCACTAAAAATAAAAATACAAAAAAAATTAATTTTTAGAAAATTAAAACCAAACACACTAAGCCTCCGTTTGGAAAGTGGATTGACTTTTTTGGCTTTTTGACTTTTTTGGATTTTTTGGCTATTTGAGCCTGGGTTCAAAAGCTTAGTTTGGGAAGGACTTTTTGACTTTTTGACTTTTTTGACTTTTTTTGTAAGAGAATAATGTAATGATTATGAGTTGGATGTGATGTTTTGCCTGTTGTGTCTTAGAGCATCTCCAATGCACTAGGTATATAATGATTGTTAGGTAAAATGTCTAGTATGATTCATTTTTTTCAACTCCAATGCACTAGGCATGTAATTAGGCATTTTAGCTCAATTCTCATTCACTAGCTACATGTAGCTAGCCTTCAAGGCTAGGCAAAATGTATTTAATCATTAGGATTATTTCCCTCCATCTTTGTTGTTGATGTGGCATTTTATAAAATTAATAGTATTTGGATGAATAGCTAAAATAAAGAGCATGGTTAGAGCAAAAACATGAAACAGTTGATAGGCAAAATAAAATGTACACTTTATAGTAATGTTTAGATAGGTAAAATGCCTATTACCGTTGGAGATGCTCTTAAATAGCCTATTCTATCTTTTGTGGTTCAAAAAGCCAAAAGAGCCCAAATAAACTCCTCCTAAACGACACCTAAATATAACTTGGATAAAAAAAGATTAAAAAATCGACTTTTAACCGCATTGTCAAAATAAATCAATATATAAAGCTTGAAATGAAAGGTATTTTATACGGAGGCATTGGTAGGTCGTGTGGCGGGTTCCGGCCAATAGAAACAAGAGAATGACGTAAGTAGATAACCCGCAGGGGACGTTAGTATTGGGGCTAAAAAGTAAATAAAGAAAAATAGAGGGGGTGATGTGGTGTGGAGGTGGGGTTGGAAACCGTGGTGCTATTTGAATCACCACTTTTAGATGGATTCTCTCTCTTCGCTTCGCCATCAAAACCCAAACCCTCACTTCCCTACCCTTGGCGGCTGAAACTTCCCCCCCTTGTCTCCCTCTCATCTCTCTCTCTATATCTCGTAGGGTTTTCTTTCCTCTCCAATTGGATTTAGGGTTTTAGATCGTTACTCTCATGGCCACTGTTGCTCCTCCCGCAGATCGTATCCTTACCAACCCTGTTGTCCATCTGGGTATTCTTTTTTTGATTGTTTCGTTTCGTTTCTTTTGCTTCGTTTTTTTTTTTTTTTTCTTTTCTTCCTGATCTGCTCTTTCTTGATCGAACTTGGTTTGTTTTATTGTATATGCTTATATATAGATACCATGTTAGCCTTGTATTCTTGCTTCTCTATATAGATCTGGGTGTTGTTTATCTGTGGTTGTTGTTTCATAAGGTTTTGGATTTGGATTTGGATTTGAATTTGAATTTGAATTTGAATTTGAATTTGAATTTTTGTCGGTTGATTTAAGTTTATTGATTGATTAGTGATGTCTATTGTTGTTTGAACTTGATATATAAGTGAAATTCTTGTAGAGATGTCACGTGCTTTGCTTTATGCGGTGTAGTTCTTATGTATGGGATATGGGTGTATCTGGTTTGATTGTCTTTTTTACTTGTATGGTGTTGCTGACAACGACTGTTTCAAGAATAAATTTTTAGTGGTTTTTCTGAAATTTTTATTTGTTTTTTTTACCCTCAAAACTGAGTAGTTATTGTAATTTTGCTTTTGAGATCTGGATTCAGAGAATTCAAAATTTGGGTCTGGGGGTTTTGTTATGATTTGTTAATTATACAGGTTTAATTATCTGAAAACTGGGGTTTTCCTTTACTTTTTACTTCAATAGAAGCTGCAGATTTGCTGCAAAAGTTATCATTGGATTCTCAACCCAAGACCTTGGAAATTCCTGAACATACAAAGAAGGTGATTTGAAGCTCTTCCATGTTATTTGTTGGGTATTGTTTTTACTTTCAGGATTTGTTTGAATGAGTGATTTTAAGGGTTGTTCTTGTTATCTTCTGTACAGCCGTCTGTTGATGCAGCCGATACTACAAATGGTCAGATCCAGTTGTATGAACGTTCTGTGACCCCGTTATTACAGGATTTCAATGATCCATCCATGTGCTATGTCCCAAACAGTTATCCATCGACTGCTTATTATTATGGAAGTAAGTTGATAGTTAGGGAGTCCCTCAATAAAAATCTGAAATCGACTTTGTTTATTATTTCCAAGAAAAATTCAAAATTTAAATTGGCTATAGGTAATTATACCATTCCCCTTTGATGAATTTTATGCTGAAAGGGGCATGTATGCTTTTCTTTCCTAGGTTACGATGGGACTGGTAATGAATGGGATGACTACCCGAGATATGTAAATCCAGAGGGAGTTGAAATGCCTCCTGTAAGTATTTTTTGTAGTGCACTCGTGTAATCTGGGAATAGAATTTGTATTTTGGTCTATGAAGAAATGTCATTGATTGTAGGTATTATTTATGATTTATGGGCACTTGCTTTGCAATTGAAAGCGAGATTATTAATTGTCATACTTGGGTTGCAGGTTGTACTTACAGTAATTTGTGATCTTTTGTTGTTTGTTATATTTGCTTATTTACAGGGAGTTTATGGGGACAACGGATCGCTTATGTATCACCACGGTTATGGGTATGCCCCCTATAGCCCATATTCACCTGCTGGTTCCCCGGTTCCGACTATGGGACATGATGGGCAGCTATACGGGGCTCAGCATTACCAATATCCACCTCAATATTTCCAACCCCTGACCCCAACTAGTATGCCATACACCCCTACTCCTGCTGCCCCCTCTAAAGGAGAAATTCCCAACTCTGCACCTGCTGACCAAACACCTTTGTCCGTGGAAACTGCTAATGGAAACTCCAATGGCATTGCTAACAGTGGGGGCGTAAAGGGAAATAATGGTTCAGCACCAACAAAACATACATATCAGAATTCATCATTTAATACCAATGCTTCCTACGGGAGGGGTGGCCTTCCTGGGGGAATTCCTGCGTTGGGTTTTCAAGATCCAAGATTCGGCTTTGATGGTTTAAGGTCTCCTATCCCTTGGTTGGATGGCACAATATTTTCTGATGGGCAGCCTAGGCCTGTGACTAGCACTTCGATGGTTTCATCAATATCACATGCGAATAACTCCCCAGCATCAAGGAATCAGAATTATCGTCCTCATTCTCATCTCATGGTATGTGATATCAAACATTAAGGTTCTATTTGATTGAACTGAATTTGTAGTTCTGAATTTCTAGTGCTGAAATAGTTGAGTACTGGATTTTTAAATTTGAAAATTTTAAGATATAAATGTTAGTTGTGAATGAAACTGAAAATTACCTTTCGCTTTTTGTTCAGCATCGGTGAGTCAAGTCTCTCTCTCCCTCTCTCTGTGACATAATTTTCAGATTCATTTTTAGTCAATTCAGATCTAAGTGGTGGTTGATTCTAGGTTGTTAAATGCACTTAATTGTGAAACTACTGAATGCGTAGGTGCTTAATAATGTTATCAAACAAGCTCTAAGTAAACTCTTCTCTGGGTCAGTTGAGTTTGTGAACCAAGGCCAAATAAGCTGATTGTTTGCAGTAATGGCCCACTAAGCTCAGCTAGTGGATCCCAAGTCCCCACTTTCACATTCCAAAATCGATTTAGGGAGTAAAAACAGCAGTGACTGACTTGGTCTGACTGGTCGAACTGAATTGTATTTATCCTGTTCTGTTTGATTAAATTGGATCATTACAGGATGTCATGTTAACTTGTTTTGAAATCTTTGATGATCCGAACTGTTTTGATTGCTTGATGATTTGTATATAATGTAATATAGTCCTCAGTATTTTTTTCCCATATCTGCAGGGTTTGCACCAACCGAGACCAATGCCTAGCATGGGCACAGCTAATGGCTATATGAATAGGATGTACCCGAACAAATTATATGGCCAGTATGGAAGCACCTTTAGATCTACTCTCGGTTTTGGATCTAATGGTTATGATTCACGAACAAATGGACGTGGGTGGTTGGTCGATAGCAAGTACAAACCCAGGGGGCGAAGCAATGGTTTCTTTGGTTATGGCAATGAGAACATAGATGGTTTGAATGAGCTGAACAGGGGACCGAGGGCCAAGAGCTCTAAGAACCAGAAAGGTTTTACACCTGTTCCCTTGGCAGTGAAGGGGCAAAACACATTAAATGGAACAAATGATCTGGAGAAGGAAAGGTCAAGTGTGGCTCCCGATCGGGAACAATACAACAAAGTAGATTTCCCTGAGAGTTACACTGATGCTAAGTTCTTCATCATTAAATCATACAGTGAGGATGATGTCCACAAGAGCATCAAGTATAATGTGTGGGCTAGCACACCGAATGGTAATAAAAAGCTTGATGCAGCATATCAGGAAGCTCAGCAGAAGTCTGGTGGTTGCCCTGTTTTTCTTTTCTTCTCGGTAAGCATATTGATGCGACTTGCATTATCAGGATTATTTCTTTAGTAACTTTGTTTGGTTTAGCAACTAAGTTTGAATTGTTGTGCCTAGGTCAATACTAGCGGGCAATTTGTTGGTGTTGCAGAGATGACAGGGCCAGTTGATTTTCACAAGAATTTTGAGTACTGGCAACAAGACAAGTGGAACGGTTGTTTCCCTGTTAATTGGCACATTGTAAAAGATGTGTCCAATAGTCTGTTGAAGCACATAACCCTAGAGAATAATGAGAACAAGCCTGTAACTAACAGTAGGGACACTCAAGAGGTATGTGTTATTCAGGCTTTTCTTTTTTTTTTTGACTCGTTCTGTTGATTCTTCTTTTCAATCCAAAACTTGTGGTGTTGTGTAGGTTAAATTGGAGCAGGGGCTTCAACTGCTCAAAATATTCAAGGATCACTCAAGTAAGACATGCATCCTGGATGATTTTGGTTTTTACGAGGGTCGCCAGAAGACAATTCAAGAGAAGAAGGCCAAGCAACAGCATTTCCAGAAGCAGGCAAGAGATGTGTCATTGCCCAGTTTATATATCAATTAATACATCCTTGGTGAAATTTTGTTTAAAATTATCAGGAGCTCAGCAATATCTGCGGTCTACTTGTTTTTTTCCTGTCATCTTTCTCATAATTGTTCTGAACTCTTTTCCTTTTTTTATTTTTTCCCATGAGACATCAGTTACATTTTGATTGTAAGCGAAGCTAAATTTGGTCTGTTTGCTTTGGTAATACCAACACAGGTATGGGAAGGAAAACCAACTGATGAAAAGAACAAAGAAGGGGCAAATGGGGAACTGAAATCACAGCAGAAGTCTTCAGAAGCTGCCTCTGATTTTGTCAAGGAGCCTACTACCCCTGCTGTTCAGACGAACAGGGATGTAAAGCTTTCAGAAAATGGATCGGCAGTTACAAAATCTGGAGACGGGCCGAATGGTGCTAAAACAGCTGCAGTGCCAGAGAAAAAGATTGCGGCAAATGGGGTTGCAAATGTTGAGGGTACATTTTTTCCCATGTGACAAGGCAGAGAGGCTTAGCTGCTTTTGTTGAGAATGAAAACGAGCCCCATTTTTTCTCATGATGCGGGTCAGGTTCTATAGCTGTTTAGTTTCAAACAGGTCTCCTTACCTTGGGGGTTTGTGGGTTTAGGGCCTTTTTTTTTTTTTTTTTTTTTTTTTTTTTTTTTTGGTTTTTTTTTTTTTTTTTTTTTTTTGTGTGGCTTTAATATATTTTTGTTGGTCTATTTTTTTCTCTTTTGTTTTTTTGAATCTCCTTTTTTATTTCTAGTTTGGCCTCATCTTGTAAAATCTAGATCTACTTTTGCTAAAAGCAGATTTTGCTTTTTGTAGTTGGGAGAGAGCTAGAGGCAAGGTGGGAAAAAGTATTGCAATAGATAATAGTTCCCTAGTAGTTGAAGCTTTTGAAAGTTAAATTGTTTTTTTTCTTTTAGTGTTTTCCTTTCGTTGCTTATGTTATATGTTTATGTTAATGACCTTTTATATTTATATTTTTACAGTGCTATTGAGTAAATGTCTTTTTTCGAAACCAACACACGGTTAAAATCATGTCTTCCGTTTTTCTCCTTAATTCTATTGTCGAAGACTTCATGTACCTGATTTGGGTTGTTTGTCACTATAAATGTTATCACGTTAGTCTAGTACATTGCGATTGTGTTTGACCAATGATGTTGCGTGTTTTGTTCACATTATTCTTTCTTCTCTTTTTTTTTCTTCTATTACGTGCATATAATCTCCTCCTGTTATTTGGGTTACGTTTTTTTGACAGGTTATTTTGCTTGAAATTTAAAATCAGACAGTTGTATTTCAAAAAAGGTATTAAGTAATTTTTTGAAGGTTTTATTTAGTGTTAATAAATGGGCAGCAGTAAACATTTTTGTCCAATCGAAAAAGGTGACATCCAGTGGCGTAGCCAGGAATTTGATAGAGAGGGGCACAAATTAATGATAACATCAGTGTATTTGGTTTGAGTTTTTTGAATTAAGTTTTTTAAAAATTAAGTTCTTTTGGTTTTTGTGTTTTTTTGTTTTTAGTAAGTATTTTTTAAATTTTAAAAATGTTTTTTTTACTTTATTAGATGAATTTTACTTAGATGTATTTAAAAAATTTGTAAAAAAATATTTTAAAAAATTAATAAATACATAAAAATATAAATGATGTATAGAACTTTCACATATATATATATTTTTGTATTTTTGGTATTTAGTGAATTTTTAAAAAGTTATTTTCATAAATTTTTTATTTTTTAGGTATATTTATGTTAGATATGTCTAAAAATTAAAAAAATTCAGTGAAAATAAATAAAAAAAATCCGAAAAATAAAAAAGTAGAATTTTCTAAAAAATATTTTTGGAAAACTCTAATCAAGCAAATTTTTTTTTTTTTATAATAAACAACAATGAGATATTACTAAACTTAAATATTAAGAGTCCATTTGAATAAATGTGAATTTTAAATTATAGGATTTGAGTTTAAATTTTATATAAATATTGGGGAGTAACTATTTATAGGTAGATTGAAAAATTAAAAAAGAAGATAAGTTGAGATAGAAATAATATATTTTAGTAGAGAAATTCTATAAAACACAACATAAAAAAAAGTGTCTATTATATGTCGTAATTATGATTTTCGTGGACTTTAGTTATGACACATTATAGTGTTAGATATAATTTAGTTATAACTTCTTGTGGTTGTTATTTTGGCTATTACTATATATCAAATAATAGTTAGTTATGACTCATTTTGATATTAGTTACGACCTATTGTAATTTTTTACTTTTTTTTTTTATAACTGAAGATGTGTTACTTGATTATAATTTATATAGTGATCATTTTAGTTATGAATGAAAAAAAAAAACATATAGAGGACAAACTCTACATATCAAATGTACGTAACAATCCAATAAATTTCATATATCTTCGTTGAGGTTAATTATATTTGCATGTCAATAATTATAAACATCACCATTATATTTAAATTTTTATAAATAATAATATAACTTATCATAGTCTCTTTACTTTCAATCAAAATAATCATTATTGTTCTTATAATTTTAAAAATATTATTGACATTTCACTTTAAATAATATTTTTATAAATTTTTTTATTTAAAATTTTTTCTTTATGTTTAAAAAAAAAAAAAAAAATCTCCAAAATCCCAAGGGGCACGTGACCCGCTGCGCCTTGAGTGTCTCCGCCCGTGGTGACACCTGAGGGAAGGTGCACTCTCTTGTTAAGCAAGGGGTGTTTGTGTTTTATTTATTTATTTTTACAAAAATACATGGACTCTTATGTTGTGTTTGGTTGAGGGATTTGGGGAGGGATTTGGAAAGGGAAATGGAAAAGGTGTGTGAAACTATGTGAAATGTAAGTATATTTAAATTTTTTTATTTAAAATTTTTTCTTTATGTTTAAAAAAAAAAAAAAAAATCTCCAAAATCCCAAGGGGCACGTGACCCCCTGGGCCTTGAGTGTCTCCGCCCGTGGTGACACCTGAGGGAAGGTGCACATGCACTCTCTTGTTAAGCAAGGGGTGTTTGTGTTTTATTTATTTATTTTTACAAAAATACATGGGACTCCTAGAGTTGGGGATCTTTATGACCCCTAAAATGATGTGGATCAATTATTTATTTTTTTTTCTTTTTTTTCTTTTTTTCTTTCCTTGACCAATTACAAGTGAGTGAGAGTTGTGCTAGTTGTGTTTTTTAGAGATCTGTAGTATTATTGTTATTTTTATTCTGTTTTAAATGTTATTGGTTGGCATGCTTTTTTTTGGATTGCCTTAGGGGGGTGTTTGGCAAGAAAAATTTTGGCCTTTTTTAGGTTAAAATTTACAAAAGGACAAAATATGTTAAAATAATTAATAAGATAAAATATCATATTAAATCCATAATTATTATTTTTTTTTCACAAATATTACATCTAATTATAAAAAATGTAATCACAGTTTACTAAAATAACTACTTTTCTAGATCTTGTTCATTGTGGAAATTACAATAAAACTGAATGAACAAGAGATGTTTGCAAACTAATGGGGCAAATACTTACAACGACCCCGTTACGTAGCTCGAGAGTTTAGAGCTCGAATTTGTTTTTCCTTCTTCCTCCTTTCTTCTCTGTCTCTCTCTCTGGTCTGAAACTGAGACGAAGAAGAACAAGAAAGAAGAAAGAAGAAAGAAGAGGAGGGGATTCAGTTCAGTTCTTGAAGAATGATCCAAATCAAAAACAGACCAGAGGTCTTCATCATCTACCAATATTCAGTTCTTGAAGAATGATCCAAACACACCCGACAGAAGATTTAAGATGAAAAAAAATGTATTTTGACATGAAGGTAATTTAAGATTAAAAAAATGATCCAAACTTATTTTACAAATTTTCATCTTAAATAGAAATCTACCAAATCTACCAACATTCAGTTCTTGAAGAATCATCTTCATCATCAAAAACATACCTTCATCAACAACAACACAGAGGTCTTTATCATTTCCAGATCAAAAAAAAAAAAAAAGATCGGTGACCAATTAGAGATGAGGTGGCGGAAGGTTTTGCATACGCACCTGAATCGAACGAGAGATTTGATAGGGAGACGATTGAGAATGTCGACGATGATGTCCATGGGGAGAAAGAGATTGTAGTCCGAAGACGATGACATTGCATCATCGGTGGCCTCTGTATTTCTTTCTTGATTCGCCATTGTTGCTTCTTTCCAAGAATGGGAATAGAGAGAGAAGAGAGAAGAGAGAAGAGAGAGGAAGGGTTTTCAGAGAGGTTTTTACACACAAGAAATCAATAGGGACCCCAACCAACTTCAATGGAGTTATTGGTTGTTGTCACCGTCACGTGTATCTAGTGGTGGTGTTGTGATTAGTGGGGGATACGATCGATAAATATATATTGAATAATTAAAAAATACGAGGGATCACGTGATGTCTCTAAATAAAAAATAATTTTTTTTTGCGCAAAAACAATGACGTATGTATAAATTATTAAGAATAATGTTTGAGAGTTTGAATTTGACCCCTTAATCCCTCTAATTTCTAAAACGATGTCATTTTGGGGATTTTTTTTTTTTTTTTTTTTTTTTTTCTCCATTTTCGACTCTGAAACAGGGAGAGGGAGAGGGAAAGAAGCAGAGGGGAGGGGAAGAGAGAGAGAGAGAGAGAGAGAGAAGACGATCGTCGATCGCCGATGCCCAGTCGCCGATCGTCGCCCAGCCGCCGGTCGCCGTCGCAGCCCAGCCCAGCCCCGCCGTCGCAGTCCCCTCCTTCCTTCTTCCTCCTCCCTCCTTCCTCCTCCTCTTCTCCTTCTCTGCTTCTGAAAGGCCCCCTCCAGTCCCCTCATTCCTCCTCCTCCTCCCCCTCCCTCATTCCTCCTCCTTTCCTCCTTCTCTGCTTCTGAAAAAAAAAAAAATAAATAAATAAATTAGGGGGATTCGGGGTAGCTCATTTCGAGCTACCCAGCACGACTCATGTAGAAAAGTAATTGGAAGTCTTTAAGATTTGAGAATGTGGCAGTTGCGGACAAAATGCTCTTTTCTCTACTACTATGGTGGCTAGCCATCTATTGTACAACTGTCATATCCTTCGCTACTCTAAAATCTCAACCTCAACCCTCATTATCTTCACCACCATTGCCGCCCTCCTTTACCCTTTCTGCCATCCATACTAGTACCACCACACCTTTCACCTCATCACTATCCCTTGTCACTCTCCTGCCATTCCTAGTCTCTACCACTCACACAACTGCCCCTACTCATTGTTCCTCATTTTTTTGGAATTGAACCTCCAAACATATGATCGGAATTCGAAAATACATATTTGAATATTATTTATTTGTTTGGGAATAAATAACCAAACGTAGTACAATTTTAACATCTCTATTGAAAATGTCCCCTTATTTTAAAATAAAAAAATTAATCAATCTTTTTCAAACTTTAAAATCGCAAAACCCAATGTTTGGGATGTCCTAAATAAATGTATTTGTAACTTTTTATGAAATATGAGTTGGATTTGGGTTGGGTTTGAAGTGATGTGTTAGAGAGGTAATGTGACTTACATAAGATGATATGACTTAAATAGAATAGTGACTTTTTAACTTTTTGACTTTTTTTAAACATGCCAAACTAGGCATAAGGAAAATCTAACCTTGAGAGATCACAAATCTAAACTTGTGAAAATTGCAAAACCTACAAAAGGAAAATTTTGAATCAACAACAAAAAATCTTACATTTATTTTCTCAAGTTATAAACAAGTATGTGGAGATGAAATAGTAATCACCTTCGTGAGTTTTGTTAAGGTGATTGAGAGAGAAGATTTTTAGGGTTTAAGAGTGTGCATTCAATTGAATGGGTGAAACGTTTTCACAAGGATAATTTTAGTATTATTTGAGAGAAAATTTTATTTTAAGAATTTTAAAATTTATAGATGAGAGTCCAAAAAAAATAGAGTTTAAAATAATTTGTGAGGTCCTAATAACAACACTCTAAATCATTCCAATAAATATCCAACATTTCATTCGTTTTACAATTTTAAGAAATAATCGTTATTTTTTATTTGCTCTATTATTTGCAATTTTCATTTTTTATGTTTTCTTATTTGTGTGTGTATATATATATATATATATTAATTAAATTACACTCACCTCCCTTGAGGTTTAAAATTAAAGTAACTCTATAGTTTTGATGCAATTATATTAACCTCTTTTTTGCTACGGCTATAGTGACTAAAACTAATACAAATCATGTAGACACTAAAATAAATAAAAATAACTATGCATTTTAGTTGAAAGTAGATAACAATGTCATTTTTTTATTCATACGATTAACAAATTATTGATAAAAAATAACTTAACTGTTTTGTGAATTAAAAACTCAAAAAAATTAATGTAATTATATAAAAAATGTAAAATTATCTATATTTTTTTTAAATCTCAAAGTAGGTGAGGGCAATTTATCCACACACACGTGTATATCTATTCTATTATTAAAAGCAAACACCAATTTTGGTGTCATGAAGCCTCAACCATGTCCACGTGTAAATTAGATGATTTGACCCAAAAAAAAAAAAAAAAAAAAACAAATTTCATCTTTTCCCTTTTGCACACACCAACCTTGATGGTCCTAGAGTAAAAATTTAGTGTAACGTTACGGTCCTAAGCCCCAATCCCTCTCTCTTTTCTGTTTGGCATTGTCAACCTATCCAAACACATGGCCCATCCAAACACATGGTCCAGATCCATATGATTCAAATAGGGTACGTTAATTGATGATGACTAATGGGCAAATTAGATATTAGTCTCTATTTTGATCCTTGTGTCATTTTGATTCATATAATTTTTATTTTGATTTTTCAATTGTCTCAAATTAGTCTAGTTGATTCCAATTGTTAATATTTTTTATAGCAAATGTGCACATAAGCGACATGTGTCATGCTTTTAGGCTCAAAGTCATAAATTTGATCAATTCAGCGATTTAATCACAACTAACTCACTGATAATTTTCCATAAAAAACCCTAAAGATGTTATTAATTAAACCAAATTGATGCAAAATTTAAAATTAAGAGTCAAATTAAGCCAATTAAAACTGTAGAAACTAAAATGACACAAACAACTACAGTCTAAACGTGTAATTTGCCCATGACTAATTGTGAATTGGAATCCAACTTTATTTTGGATTACTGACATCTTGAATTCCCCTCGAGCAGTAATGTAATACTATATTCTAAGGTATAGAACAACAAGCAAACTTAAGTAAAAAAGAATTTTTAGAATCTTATAAAACATGATTTAATAGTGGTGCGGGTCGGTGCGGTTTAGAAGAAAAATAGAAACCGGCGGATTGATAAAAGTGTCACTAGAATTTGCCATTTTTCTTATCAAAAACCGGCGGTTCAGTTGACAAATAATAACGAATTTGCCTTGGCGGTGCGGTTCGGTGCGGTTTTGACGGTTTCGGCGGTTTCGGCGGTATTATGCACACCCCCACTAATAAGCTTTAAGAGTAGAACTGTCCATAAAAATAAATAAATTAAATGTAATGAACGCATAGAGTATACTCTTCATTGAGTGCTGAGCATGTTCAAGTTAGAGGATTGAATAACGCTACCGGTACCAATTAGTGTATTGATTAGTACATCAATTGATGATACGACAGATTTTAAGAGATTTTTAATATTTATAATTTGTATAATATGTAAGGTTAATAATAATATTATAATTAGTATTGATACACTAATTAATGCATATATGTTTAGAATATTTTCCTAGGATACTTGTGTTTCAAAAATTGCAGCAATGTTGATATTTTTACATTGGCCCTGTTTGGTAGGACTTATTTTCAGTTTATTTCAGCTTTTAGCTTAATTTAAACTATTTTGATGTGTTTGGTTCAGCTTAACAATACAACTTATAACTTTTTGTAAGTCAAAAATCAACTTATTATTTGAGTGAGGGAGGAAAAGCTTAATTTATAAGTTAAAAATCAGCTTATGTTCACAGTTATAAGTTATAAGCTGATAAGTTACAAGCTATAGGCCCTGTTTGGTAAGGCTTATTTCCAACTTATTTCAGCTTTTAGCTTAATTTAAACTATTTTGATATGTTTGGTTCAGCTTAACAATACAGTTTATAACTTTTTGTAAGTCAAAAATAAACTTATTCTTTGAGTGGAGGAGGAGAAACTTAATTTATGAGTCAAAAATCAACTTATGTTTACAGTTATAAGGTATAAATTGTTAAGGTATAAGTTAAATCACTTTTCTACAGCTCTACTAAACGGGGCCATAGTCACTTTCTCACAACTCTACTAAACGGGCCATTAAGTGTTTTTTTTTAGTTTTAAGACGTTTTACATTAGATGGGCCTTTTATTGGTGAGTTTACACTGTCCAATCAAGTGATTATTAAGGAATTGTTGACATACTGATCCTTAGCAAAAAATTGCTGAAGGATTGTTTGGAGATCGATTGCCCCCAAGATGGGGCAGAGGTATTAATCATCGAGCACTAGGGATAGGTTTAAGGATCAATCTATAGAGAGAAAAAGCCAATTTCAACCTCATTTGAATTTCTAATTTTCCGTTGCTTGTACATATTACCCTAACATATTTTTTTAGGGCTAAGTTTTCATATTTTGAGCAGCCAAAATATTAGAGATCCTAATGCTGTGTTTGATTGGGAGATTTGAAGAAGAATTTAGAAAGGGAAAGAAAAAAAGTGTGTAAAACTAAATGAAATGTATGTATATTTTATTCACATTTCACCTAACTTTTCTCTTTCTCTTTTCAAATTCCTCATCAAATCCTCCAACCAACGTAAAAGATATTTTAATTTTTTTTTATCAAATGTGGTGTGAGACAATACAAATCATTCAAAATGTAAAACATTTGATAAAAATTTTAATAAATCTTTTTAGGGTAATTAACATTACTCTTTGAATAGTGCTAAGAGTTCTTGAGTTTAATCTTTTACATGTTTAGGTAAAATTTCATTTGAGCATTTTGTTAACAAAAACCCTACACACCAGTTTGCATTGCAAAAAACTGCAACATCTTGACATCCAGCATCATTTGCAAGTGAGTTAAGATTAAATTTTGAGATTGCTAAAAGAAGCTTGAAATATTTTGAAAAACCAACATAGCGATGATGAAGCATTCAGCACTAGAATATACAATACACTTCTTCTCTACTCTGTTATTATACGCTCAGGTCCTCCTTCCTTCCTTCCCCATGGATCATGACAGGCAATTAATGGGGCCTTCAACCTTGCTAACATATTTTTGAAAAATGTTATAGATCCCAAATAATTCAAAAATGCTAGAGGCTCCAAAAATTTTATCAAAAGTTTTACCAAATGTCTCACATGGGTGTGGGACCCACATGAGACTCAAATTGTATGGATCCCACACGTTTAGTAAAAACAATTTTGGTAAAATATTTGAGGTCTCTAGCATTACTCCGTAGATCTCATATAAACCCATATGTAGGTATCACACCCATGTGAGAAGTTGATAAAAAATTTAATAGAATATTTGAGGCTCCTAGATTCACTCTATATTTTTTTTTATATTCATCATATTTGACTCTTATGATTTCCAAATCACACACTAGTGCTAACAAAAAAAAAATATATATATATATATAACAAAATAAATACTGATATAGAAGAAAAGAGGCCTCAGAGATCTTGGTGGATAGGAATCATCAGGGGGGGTTTTGAAACAAAACTCACTCAAGAGTAGCAAATATTTGTAATCACATCACCGGCCTTTCCTTTCTTGTTCTTCGAATCAAAGTCGGAATAAATATTAAAACTACAAATTGAAATGTATAATACTATAATCTTTACAAATAAATAGAGATTGGGGCACATGATGAAGAGTCAGCAGCAGATTGTGATATCATCTCTTTTTAAAATAAGAGAAATCATTGGGAATCCGTCTGATTTATTTCATCATCCTACAACATCACGGCCACCAAAGTTTTATAAAAAAAAATTTAGGTATGAATAAAACTGTGAATGTATGTATCTACCTTGTCACCACCGATAAATTCTCATTCTGTATATACATAATAGATCCTTTGATTCACTCAAAATTATTGGAATCCAATCAAGGAATTGCAATATTAGGCGCAGTAGAAGATTACATATCTCTGCAACCAATCAAGTGTCATCAACAATCAGCTGAAGATGCTCTCCCTCTCTCCGCAGGACTACGTACTCTACCCTAGACCCACCGCCCTTGGTTGCATTTTTTGAATATCTATATCTATTATATATATATATATAGGAGGAGGTGACGGCGGGTTATACAAAAAGAAACCCTACCTAATGAACAAGCGATGATGCCCTCTTACACTGTTGGTTTGAAATGATATAAATAAATGTAGAGTAAATTACACTAATATTTCTTGATATTTATATTTATTATAGTTTTTTTTTTAATTTTTTAAAAATTACATCTCTTTAAATGAGATTTAAAGTTTCATTACCGATTTTTTTTTTAGCAATTTAATTTTTTTAAATACCAATTTTGTCCTCATTGGATAAATTACATTGACACTCCTCACATTTTAGAAATTACAATCCTCTCGTTAATGTTTAAATTAACATTACCAATTGTCCCCTTGGTTAATATTAGTGGGAAAAAAAAATTCATTGAAAAAAAATTAATTGAAAAAAAAAATTGTTACTAAAGTTTTTAAATTTCTATTTAAAAACCAACGTAAGCTCATTTTTTTAATTTACTTTTTTTTCTCAAATTTACAAACTGAGACAACCATTTGTAAATCAAAAAATTATCAAACAAATTTTTATAATAGTTTTTAAAATTTTTGTAAATATAAATTGAAAACTGAAAACGAAATAGTTACCAAACATGCTTGATGGTAAAAATATCGTAAAATTAACAAATAATTAAATAAGTTACCAACGTAAGAAATGACTTATCAAAAGGTTCTTAGGCTACATATGGTTTGATTTTTAGAATTTTTTTGGTTAAGAAATAAAAAATAAAAAAAATTATCATTTAAGGGTAAAAAATAATTATCATTTTAATTTTTAGACAAGTTATATACATACGTATGGCTGTTTCAATTTAATTTGTAAAAAATTATTTCTAACCACTCGAAAGATAAAAATTATATAAAAATGATAATTATTTTTTATTTTTTATTTCTTAACCAAATTAATTTTTAATTTTTAAATTTTTTTTCTAAAAATCAAACCATACATCGCCTAAGAATCTTTTAATAAGTCATTTTTTACGTTGGTAACTTATTTAATTATTTGTTAATTTTACGACATTCTTATCATCAAGCCTGTTTGGTAACCATTTCGTTTTCAGTTTTCAATTTATATTTACAAAAATTTTAAAAACTGTCATAAAAACTTATTTGATAATTTTTTTGGCTTATAAATGGCTGTCTCAGTTTGTAAATTTGAGAAAAAAAAACGTAAATTCAAAATATGAGCTTACGTTGGTTTTTAAACAGAAATTTAAAAACTTTACTAACAAAAAATTTTTTCAATTAATTTTTTTTTCCAATGATTTTTTTTTTTAACTAATACTAACCAAGGGACCAATTGGTAATGCTACTTTTAACCTTAGGGAGGGGATTGTAATTTATAAAATATGAAGGGTGTCAATGTAACTTACCCAACGAGGGCAAAATTAGTATTTAAAAAAATTAAATTACTGAAAGGGGGAATCTGTAATGAAACTTTAAATCTCATGGGGGAGATGTAATTTTCAAAAGGTGATGGGAGAAATTGTAATAAACATAAATCTCATTGGGGGTGTCAGTGTAATTTACCCATAAATGTATTTTTTGACATTTTGTAAAATATAGATTGAGTTTGAAGTGATATGGTAAAAAAATAATATGACTTAAATAAAATGACATTATTTAAATAAGATAGTGACTTTTTAATTTTTTTAAATTATGCCAAACCTAGCCTTAGTTTGTTTAGAATGAAATAGGTAAAAAGTAAAAGAAAGAGAGAAAAAAAATTAGTTTTTATGAATTTGTTTAGCAAAGTGGTGGAATGTATAAAAAAAATTAATTTTTTTTGTACAACTCATATTGGAATTGGGGATGTTGTTGCGTGAGCTTATAACTAATTATTTTTATTTATTTATAGGTAAATCTGTATCTATAAAAATAAAAAATAATTATGATTTAAAGCATTAAAATGAATATAAATGTGAGTGGATGAATGTGTAAACAATATCCAATTAATTTGATTTTTTTCAGGAATGTTTTACTTAATGCATTTCAAAATATGAACGGTTTGAATTATCAAAATGGGCCCATTTCGTTGCACAGTAGTTGCTGCTGCGCAGCCCGTGTAGCAGCATCCCCAATTCCACTCATATTAGCATTATAACTAATTTTTTATTTCTTGCAAAAAATATAAGAAAAATTGAATGTGTAAGTTATCCATAACCAAAATTTTAAATTTTTCTATCTTTTCGTATAAAATTTTCATCTTAATCAAATGTTTGAAAGAAAATATATTTTCTTTTCTATTTCTTTTCTTTCACTTCATTTTCTTTTAGTTTCACTTTTTATCAAATTTTCTTTCTAATTAAGTAGAGCGTTACCGCTGGGTGAACATAAAAGACTCAGGAAAAAAAATGAACATATATTAGTTCAAACATATGTATTATTAATTTTGAAACGAAAAATTTACTAACGTTTTTTTTTTCATCTTTAGTTTATATATATATATATATATATTTAATTAAATTTATTTTTATTTTTTTAAATACATCTAATCTAAATGCATCTATAATGTAATAATATTTATGAATAAATTAAAAAAAAAAATTCATTAAAGACAAACAAAATTCCATATTTTTTTGTTTTTTACATCTTTAATGGATTTTTTACATCACACACGGAACTGATGTGTAGATAATGTAACAAATTCTGTTAATTTTTTAGATGGAAGTTAGTTTAGGATTAAAATGAGAAATATTACAAATATATAGGGCCAAAATGAAAAAAATAAAAACTTAAAGAGGCAAAGTAAGAAATGACTGAAACTTTAGGAGAGCAAAGTATAACTTACTCAAATAAAAAATAAAACTAAAAAACAAAAAAGAAAGAAAAAATTTGACTTCTTATTTTAAAATTTTTAGATTCTTCTAGACTAAATAGACTGTAAAAGTAAAAAATTGTCACAAATTTAAATTATTATTATTAATTTTTTTTTGGGCAAATTACATATACACCCCTCCAGGTTTGGTTAAATTACAGATATCCCCCTGAGGTTTCGGAAATTACATCCCGCCCCCTGAGGTTAATCTTTTTTAATATACTCCAGGAAGCAACTGAATTAGCTATATACATACCAATCACCTTTTCAGATTATTTCTAGATAAATTATAATTCCAATATTCAAAAATCATCCCATAAGAATGTCTACTCCTACAATATTAACTCAATTACTCATCCCTAGCAAACTCTAATATCCTGAAAATACATATATAATAATGAAATAGGAACCAACTATGTTGACCATGCTAACTTAACCTACTACAGCCAAGCCAACCCAAGCCAACTAACAGACAGGAACACCAATTATGAACCAAAACTGCATTGCTTGTGTTGTGTTGTGAGCAGCCAACAGGTCAATGCCAATGCCACTCACATATCCATCAATGTGAGTGAGTGAGTGAGCGAGCTAAGAGTTTGTCTACTGTTCAAGTGGAAACCCCCAAGCTCACAAACCTTCAGAGAGTCTAGCAGTAATGTTACATTGTTGTAGATTGACAATTGACAGTACTGCATCCACATATAGCAAAAAACTTCGACATCATCACAATCCTTAGATGTCAAGAGGAGGAGGACAAGACATGAGGTTCTCCTTTTACGGTTTTGGGATCAGCATCTTTTCTTTTCTTTTCTCCCGGAAAGAATGCCACAACTGAGTGACTGACTGTACAAAGCTCACTTTCATACCTGGCTGAATTGAGAGTATAGAAATAATGTTTGAAAACTAGAAAAAAAAGACTTCACCAACAAAATGCTCCAATTCAAACACTCTGAAACTTGCTTATTACATTCTCATCCTGCAAAAGAGAAGCTTATTGAAAAAAATAAATAAAGAGAACTAAAACTTGATAGAGCTTAGCAATATGCGGATCGGAAAAGAAAAAAAAGGAGTTTAGCAATATCAGTAATTTAGTGGGAAAATTCATGTTGCTCAAACCTGTTAATCCACGCATTTTATACACAGGACCATTGGTTAAATTCAATGGTTAAAACTCAACCTATCAACTCGAGGTGGTGAGTTTGAATATGAGGACAACCACTTTATGCATATCATGTCAAAGTTTAGGTCTACACCCAATCTACCCTTGACCCTCATCCAACAGAGGATTAAATTGAATGTACTTTTTGGGCAATCCACACAGTTAAAGCAAGGGAAAAAACTGAAATCAATATTTTGTCATTATGCAAATATGTGAAGGCCAAATCCACCCCACAAATGCTATTGTGAAATTAAAGATGCCCTCTCTGCCTGGCCTCATTTTGGTCACTAAAACAATATCTATCATGTATCCTATTGTACCCTTGCTTATACTTTCGCCCATTGCACTCTCTACATATTATCTTTTCTCCTACAGGTATTTGTTGCATTACTCATTTAGATGATCCCAAAATTGTTCTTTTTTTTTTTAATTGGCACTGGAGTGTCCGAATCAAAGTCCAACTAATCTCCAGGGGTGCACTAGCCCTTAGCAAGGAGTTTCCCGCAAGTGCACCACGGTTAATTCAAAGGTTTTTTTTTTCCTAGTCCGATGGCTCCAAGGAATTGTTAGCACCTAATAGGTTTCGATCCCTAAACTTTGGAGGGAGCATCAAGACCCAAGACCTTGCCATCAGGCCAACCCTTTGGGTTTCAAAATTGTTCTTTAATATATTCTTCCTATCCTAAGAAGCACGGACACTTCTAAGAAGGTGACGTATCCGTGTCTCTTTGGACACTCTTAGGACACGTGTTCGATACTCTTCAAAACATGTCATAATTTTTAAATTTTTTTAAACAGCCGAACACTCTTTGGATACTTGGAAGACACACATGTCAATCTCATAAACACACATGTCTATCGATTGGATACATGTGAAACTAATTGTTAGAATTTACCATCACCTACCACCACTACCACCTCACCTACTCCACTAAACCTAACCCACTACACCACTACCACCTCACCTACTCCACTAAACCTAACCCACTACACCACTACCACCATCCACTACACCTACATCTATATAAGGAACCATTTGTAATAGACAGTATACTATATCAAATACAAGAATCAATAATACAATCATTTTTTCTTTATACATTAAATTTCTACATGGTATCAGAGCTGGTTTAGAACTTAGTATTTTCGCTTCCCCGGCGGGCGGCAACCTCACCTGAGCCGCCCGCCTGACCTCAGCCTAGTCCGCTAAAATTTTCTACACATACCTTGAAATTTCCTTCATTTCTTCTTCAATGACAGATTCTTCAACAACACTTTCAATAAACAGATCAAACTGCATAGAGGATCTAAGGCCACAGTGGAAGGTGATATGCGAAAGTCCTTGTTTGCTTCCAATCCCAAGTCACCAACCCAAATCAAAGCATTTTCAAAGCATGGTTGAAGCAACTATGGTGGTGGCTCAAGAAGCTTCAATCCATGGAGACATGTTAGAGACAATCCTCTCGTACGTGCCACTCATCGACCTCGTACCGGCTTCACACGTGTGCAAGTCATGGAAGCGTGCGGTGTTTTCTTCTCTCCGCCACCTCAACAAGCCGTCGATCAAAATCAAGCAAATCTCCACCCTCCGATCGTCTCACTCCAACCTCCTCTGACACTTATGGGTCACGAGTATGTTGAGATGCAGAACACCCCAGCTGCCGTTGATGCCTATCGACGAGCTGTAGATATAAATCCTTGTGATTATCGAGCCTGGTATGGGTTAGGTCAAGCATATGAAATGATGGGTACGCCCTTTTATGCTCTTCATTATTTCAGAAAATCAGTATTCTTGCAACCGAGCGATTCTCAAAGACTCCTCGGCTTCAACGTGGCTATCGATCGCGAGCGACGATCTGAAGCTGTTCGTGACGGAGAAACACTCCGGTGTGATGCACACGTTTGATTCGGAGACGAAGAATGGAACTCAATTTCTGTACAACAGAATGACCACATCATGTTATCAAAGCAAAATTCCATATTGTTTGCCTGTGATGTTTACTAGTGTTACTTTTGACACAAGTTTCTAGGAGTAAAAATAAAACAACTATGATTAGAGTTCATAGAAATAAGAGGTTAATATCGCCAAGTTACCTTTATAACCTGAGAATATCTTCCTTCGGATGGCTTCAGTAGAAAAGCCCCGTCATCAGCAGATGTAGACCCTCCTTGACCAATGCCATGATTGCAACCCTACAAACAGATAACAAGAGTGTAATGAAAACACACATACATTATAGAAACAGTTATAGGAGAGCCTCAACCCTGAAAAAGGGCCAAAAGAACCTCAAGTTTTGTAGGTCATGAGGATATATCACAATATGAGACTGAAATATATGAATTGCCTTAGGGTTTTAAGAAAAGTGAAACTAACACCTTTCAGTTCAGATTTTGGGGCAAAAGGTGCTAAGAACAGCTCTGGAGCAGAAATTCACAATCAAGAAAAATAATTTACAGAAAGAGAGCAAAGGAAACTCTATGCCACAAGGGCTGTTTCAGATCCCAACCCAAACTAACAGAAAAATTTCACATTCATTCCATAACCAAGAAAAACCTTTCATTCAGCAGTGATCTTATTCTACACCAAGGGCCCTCCATGTAGATTGTCTAAAACCCTAAAGACTCAAATTAGCCTTCTAAAACTCAGCCCACAATAATATGACCGAATAGAACTAAATTTAATTAAAACAATTTCTAAGGTAATAATGAGCTGGATTGCAACCCGAAAAAAAATCAGGACTCTTAAACTTTAACACTATGTTTGGATACCTAGGAAAGAAAAGAAAAGACTTTGCTAAGATTAGGATTTCTCCCCCCTCTTGTTTAGTTAAGCTGGAGAGAAAAGAAAAGAAAATATTGTGATATCTCTCCAATCTTGTTTGGATAGACTACATAAAAAAAAAAAAGAAAAGAAACTCTTACAGGTCATATTACCAAAATAACCTTTTATGCTTCGTTTAGATAATAAATAAAATAAAATAAAATTTATTTAGTGTCTAGCAATAATAACAAACGATTCATTTTCCATGGATATATGTTGCAAAATAAGTTGGAACAATATAACACCCTAATGACTTATTTTTAGAAGCCTCAAGGATTTAGGGTTTCAAATATTTAAAGGGGAAGTTGCAAAGGATTTAGGGCTTCAAATATTTAAAAAAAAAAAAGAAGGATTAGTACGAATCAATTTTTGTATTTTAATAATAGAAGAACTCATAAGACGTGTTTGGACATATGTCCAACATGGGTTTGGCACGTATATAGTGCGATAGGAGGCGTAGCCATCCTTCCTAGCACTATAGGTAACAAACATGTAAGAGCTTAACAAATGCAGTTTCAAACCTTAAGTTAGTTTTTTTGAAAAGAAAAAACGAAACAATGCTAAGTTGAAAACAAAATCATTTTTCTTTTTTGCATCATTTTAAATAACAAAAAATTGTTTCGTAGAAATGGGTTGTTTCTAGAAAATTTCTCAGAAATATTATTCAAAAACAATTCTACCAAACATATTTCTAACCTCTTTTTTTCCCCCATTTTTTCAGAACAGATGTAAACTAAATTTTTTAGAACAAGCATGTTATCTGATAATTGTTGTTAATATACAAACTGGCAGGTACAAACTCATATGATCACATTTTGTCATATAATGATTTTTTTTTAAAATGGCGCAAAAAATAGTAAAAAGCAATATTAATTTGAGGCGTGAGAGAAGGAAACTGTACCCCACATGAATGACCATTGCCTGGACCATCTTCAAAGAGAGAAAAGTAATATGCTGGATCATATATAGAGCCTCCTAAAACGTCATCGCAGTCAGAGGAATGTCTATTTATAGCAGGAGTTGCAGCACTTAGAAAACTATTTCTCATATCAAAATCAGTTTCTCGAGGAGCTGAACTGTCTACATATGAAACACCCAATCTGTACATCTGAACCCATAATGATGAGGACAATAACCTCACGAAGAACCCAATGATTTGCATGGATAATGTGATTTTCACTGAAAAGATAACAAAAGCCCCATACATCACAGAAGACATGTTCCTGCATACACAAATAAAGCTTTCTCAGAAACACAACCAAAAAAAAAAATTGCAATAATAATCACAATACTGGGTGCAATTATTAAATAAAGACCTTTCAGTATATGCATATGCATTATCTTTAATAATTTCATGGTTAGTTAGAATCTCAACCTCTGAAGTTGCATATCAAAAAACATTTGAAATGTTTGCATGCTCATTTGCATCAACCTAATAAAGCTTCCTTCAATTTCTTCTTAAACCATGGTTGGTAGTATGTTTTATTTTCTTCCATCTTTCCTATAAATTATTTAGTGGGTTCCCCCTACCTCACCCTACTAAGTGAAGACATAGTTCAATCTCTCACAAAACTTCCTTTGTAGACCAGAAAAATCTCAGGCATATATTTCACCAGTTTCTATAACCTATGAAGCATAGACAAGGACATGGGACATGGATACGACACGACATGGATACGTCTACATGAAAAATTCCAAAAAAGTAGGACACAGACACGGTTCAAACACACCAAAAATAATTATATCTTGTAATGTAGTTATCTATGTGCATAACATAATATTTACAAAATTAAATAATTTCTTTATACAATGCAAATATTGTATCTAATTCTCTTGCATAAACTTTTAGACTATAGCAAACATATATAACTGAGACATTTGCCTCATCCTTCTTAGACATCAACTAATACATTTACATATTTTATTTTATCATTTTTCATTTAATTTTATGTGAATCTTATACAAAATTATTCTTAATCATTATACATTTTTTGGGGATATAAGATATTTATGTCAAATTCTTAAACTTTGAGAATCATATATTAGCAAATGTCCAGTAAGTGTTGGCCTCGTTTTTATTTTATAGTGATAGACATGGCCAAGAAGTGACGGACACGTTGCAAAAATGAGTGTCAAACACGTGTCCAAAATTAAGATTTTTTACATGGAAAAAGAGTATCGAACATGTGTCCATGAGTGTCTAAGGAATGTTGACATTCGACATGTGTCCGACACAGACATGTCACCTTTTTAGAAGTGTAGTGCCTGAGGAATGTTGACGTTCGATATGTGTCCAACACAGACATGTCACCTTCTTAGAAGTGTCCTTACTTCTTAAATTTATAACAACATCCACGAGACTTAAAATGGGATTTTAGGGGCATCTTCATCATATCAACATTATTAGAACATCAATTGTAAGAACATATCTTGAAGTCCTTAATTATGCTTTGAGTCAAAACAGAACAACTAGGAAAGGCAACACAATGGTGATTGTTAAAAAACAATTTTTATCATAATTGTAATAATAATTTATTGATGAAATTTTATGGGAAAATACCAAAATCTCACTAAGATTTTCTTCAATTTGAAAAATTCTAGGAAAGAGTAGTCTTTCATCCACTCAATGCAAAAATGTAACTTGCAATCCAAAAGGTCCAACATCAGTAGTGTGTTTTTGGCAAGTCCAAATGTCAAGCCTTGGTTAAGATTTGAGAAACAAAATAATTCCTTACATGAAATTGTTGCACACAAACATGAGCAAGAGTGTTTCTATGAACTATATCATCCCATGCAAGGATTGATCGCCACACAGCATGTCCTTTTATTTAATTAATTGTATTTAGGAGACGCGTCAAAAAAAAAAAAAAAGTGAAAATTCATTTATTTTTTTAATATTGAATTAGTGTTAATCTACATATTAGCAAAATAACAAATATATAAAAAAATAATTTTTTTATTGTCATGTTTTTAGAAATCACCGTGTCTATGTCCACGTCTGTGGTCGTGCTTCTTAGCCCTCAAATTTATAGGAGTTCGCATCCTTCATAACTATAGGGGTTTGCACCCCCAATAAACTATATGATAAGATTTTAAAATTAGTTTTCTAATTGAGTTTTATCAAATATTAGCCCCCAATTGTGTTTTTTTTTTTTTTTTTTTGTTTTGGTTTTTTGCCTTGGGACCTTTTCTATTTAATATGTGTGCAATATATGTATATGTATTATATATATTTTCATGATTTGCTTCTATTCTTGTATTTAAAATAAAATACAATGATTTAACCTAAAGAGCTGTTTTCACTTTGATTAATTCAATAACCTTGCCTGTTTTTGGTCCAATCTATTTGAAAATATTGTCATTTTAAGAAAAATATCTCACCACTGAAATAAAAAGAACATTTTCATTAATAAAATTTAACAAAACATTCATTTTACGAAGAATATCTCCAGTAACAAATTTGTCTTGAATAGCTCTCCAACAAAAAATCTTTATTGGAAAGAGACAATCTTTTCCCAATTCTAGCACAAGAGACAATTAGAGGATTTGAATCTTTAATGTCCTTGCTTGTTACTATTCTTGTTTTCTGTCCTAGTCACTTGTGTTTTTTCTATACATCACAATTTAAATTTTTATACTCCTTGTTTTATTGTTTCATCATGCTGTTCATCCATTAGCAATGAATATGTTAACTGTTTGACATGACATTCGTAAAAATGATTTCATCAAATTTGATAGTGTTTATTGAAATTAGTTATCCTCTCATTGAAAGATTGATTCATGTGGTGTTAATTTTACATGTTTCAAATGTGCATTGGAACGTGCATTTTCAGCTATGAAACTTGTCAGGACTAAACTGTGCAACAGGACGGAAGATGATTTTTAACTAGTTACTTAATCACATATATTGAGAAAGATTAATTGTGTTGATAAAGAATGTTTAGTTAATGGTAATGTTATTGAATTTTTTATGATGGTAGAAATTGATATTATATTTTAAAATTTTTGATAAATTTTCTTGATTGGGAATTACAAATGCTTTCACCCCCACAATGTCAAAATTCTAGATTTGACCCTGACCTCACGCCACTTCTTCCAATCATTACTGTGACTGTGAAATTGTCACAAAATTACTGCAAAAACCAGTAATTTACAGTTCACTATGATGATATGGGATGCTATGCTTTAATGAATTCTGAATCAAACGCAATTTCTCCTACCAATCACTATTGTGAGATATTCGACTTACTAGAAAACCAAGCCAGTAACTAACAGTTCACTGTGATGATTTTGGGATTATGATTTGAAAGATACAACCCAAATTTAATAGACCAAATGATTGGTGATGATATTATGTTTCATATTAGACTCTCTCCATGCGTTCGTGAAGATATCCCTCTCCCCCAACATTTTTCTTCCCATCTCTCATAGCTTGCCGCCCCCCCCCAATTCCCCCCCAATCGGAACTTAATATATTCCAAAAAAATAAAATCTCACATAGCGTTCAGTGGCCCTCTAGAAAATTGATTGTGAAAGATTCCAGGGAGATAAGAAATATCTGCATATGCTGTGATGCATCCTAGTATGTCTTTAGCAAAATTATTTGGTTCATAAGAAAAACTCCAATTTCAAGGACAATTGAAAATGTGAGTATTATTGAGTAATTAGCAATCTGTAAAGTAAGGAGCACTGTTTAAGGTGTTGGGAACTTGCTTTGTAGTTAGAAAAAATTCATTTGCTGGGAATTTTCCCTTTGCAGCCTGTTTAAGCTTCTTTTGTAATGATCAGCAAGTTTCTTGTTAACAGCGTTACCCAACAGTTTCCACTACCATTGTGCTACGGTGGTTACACCACGCTACTACATCAGTGCCACCATAGCCAGAACAGCAGCAGCCAACATTAGTTAAAACCTTGATCCTACCATTAGCAACCTGTTTTTGTTTAATTGAAAATCTACCAAGACTTTTTGACCATAATAACCACAGTCGAGTTCCAAAAATGTGGCCTTAATGACTGCTTCTTTCTTACTTCACATATTACTAATAACTGAAAAAAGGCTACAGTTATCATACCCCGCAAACTGCATCAGTGCCAACATAGCCAGAACGGCAGCAGCCACCGTTACTTAAACCTTGATCCTACCATTAGCAGCCTGTTTATATTTAATAAAAAATCTAACAAGACTTGTTGACCATAATAACCACAGTGCAAGCTCCAAAAACGTGGCCTTAAAGACTGCTTCTTTCTTACTTCACATATTACTAATAACTAAAAAAAATCCCCTCTTTTCAACTGTCTCTCAAGTAGAAATCTTTCTCAAAACTAATTAATTTTACTAATCAATCGATGTAGGAACACTCCAGGTCAGGGACCTCTAAAAGACAATCCATGTTGCCCATCATTCAAATGAAGTACTCCATCGAGAAAAAAAGTAATGTAACCCATTACTCACACTGTTGGCATAATCAATAGATGAAGAAACACTTATGTTGCCAAGTATGCTCATCACATAATAGAAGCGATTCCCAATCTACATATTTTCCTTGAATGAAGATCTACAATATTTTCCTTCATTTGTGAGCCAATCACAGCTTCTACATCTTGATTGACTATGTTAACCACAATGCAAGTTCCCAAAATGTGGCATTAAAAGACTGCTTCCTGCTTCACATATTATTAATAGCTTAGAAATACTATCGTCTATGCTATTCCCAAGCAGGAATCTTTCTCGAGCACCAATAAATTTTGCACTATTGTAAATGGTTCTTCTCCGCTGTCTTTCTCTTTGCTTTAATTTAGATAGTCAACAACATGAAATGTGTATATGTCTTGACTAGAGTAAGTATGTATCAGAAGTTAATAAGACAGGATGAGGACGAAAAATAAGCAAACGCACCAAATTTCATGTGTGAAGAGAATGAACCAAAAGATGTCGAGCAAAATTGTGCAGAAGAGAAGAACAGCATAGGTTCGGCCAAGGCTCTGACTGCTACTCTCGATTGCAACTAAAGCGAACAATGCAATTGCCAAATGAATAAGCAAGACTCCATTGTACAGTGCTCCCAGAGATCCAATCAGTGCACAACCAATCTTATCACCAACATGCATATATACATACAGTATCAATTAAAAGTTGCACCACGCAATAAAAACAAAACAATATTCATCTTAAATAGTAAAATTATATTCTTTTCCTTGAAAAAAACGATAGGGTAATCAATAAGGTCCAGATCGTATAATCTCCGCAAAAAAATTAAAAAAACTGAACTTTGTCCAAGAACAATTACATAAATTTAAGAAATTAAAACAAGAAGGAGCGTAGATACGTACTTGAATGTAAATGAAAATCACAGCGAGGTATTGAATCTTATCATAATCACGAAGCCATGACTGTATCTGACTTCTCAATGCAGAACAAAGCATCATATACCGGAATTTCCAAATGCAAAACCCCCAATTTCTGAACCAATCCCAAACGCACCAATTAATTAAATAAATTGAAAAGTATCGATTGATAGACAAATATAGAGACAGATGGAGGGGTCTACATTGAAAAGGACAAGTATTTGAAATCTACCACGATTCGCAGCTTATAAATTGATAACGGTTCTATCATCTAATAGTTCGGATTCGTCCATTCTCGCCCAGTATCAGAGCGCAAAAACGATAAGAAAAGAAACCCTCCTCCTCTTCTCTTCTCTTCTCCACTTTATTTTCTTTTTCTTTCTTTGTCCGCGTGATTGTTCGACCTCGCCCGCGTTTGGATTTAGATGTTTCTGAAAAAATAAAGGCTGTGCTTGATTTGTGTTTTGAGTTGATTTTTTTTTTCAAAAAAATAAAATAAAATTGAGAAGAGAGTTTAGAATTTTTTTAATTTGTTTAATGGTATATTTTAAAAATAGTTTTAAATTTTGAGAGTTTTGGATTATTTGATATTTTATTATAGTTGAGTAGATATGTATGAGAAAAAAAATGATTGAGAAAGAGAGATGAGAGAAAAAAAATGATTGATGATGTATGAGAGAAAGAGTGATTTTAGAAAAAAATTTCAAAAAATTTGAGACAAACAAAATTTTAGAAAATTTGAGACAAACAAAATTTTAAAAAATTTCTAATAAATTGTATCTAGAGATATAAACCAAACAAGTCCAAAATATATCGTTTGGTAACATTTATATTTTTTGTTTATGTTTACAAAAATTTTATAAACTAGTTTTTGTTTATTTTTAGAAAAACATAAACTACAAACGCGTTTGGTTTGAACAAAATGTTTAAAAAAATTTAAAAACATAAATTAAAAAATATGTTTATTCATGTCTAAAATATTTATATTTATTTTTTATTATTTATGACAATGGGATCATACATATTGTAATTGAAAAAAAAATAATTAAAAAATAATTTGAAAATAAAATATTTGAAAACAAAATTGTTAGTCAAAATTTTAATATTTTGTTTAAAAACCAATCTAAACTCTTTTTTTTTTTTGTGTTTTTTCCTCAAATTTATGAACTGAGAGAACCATTTTAAATGAAATAAAAAATTATCAAATAAATTTTTATGACAATTTTTAAAATTTTTATAAATAATATAAGGAAAATTTACCCATAAGTCCTAGTTTTTGAAATGTTGAACCATTTAGTCTTAAAAGTTTTCTTATGCTCCATTTAGTCCTATTTTTACATCAACATGATGTGAATGATGTAAATGATCTGATGTTTCATTCTATAATTTCAAAATTTATTGAAATCTAATGAACATTAGATGTTTTTCATCCTATATTTTCAAACACTATTGAAATTTGATGAACATTAGATGTTTGAAATCCAATGTTTGTAACATGACTCTGATGTTATTAACATTGTAATGGGACCTTTCAGTCTATAAGAAAACTTTTAGGACTAAACAGTGCATAAGTTATTAATTTGGGATTTATTGGTGCATCCCCCAATATATAAACTGAAAACAAAATAGTTATCAAATAGGAACGAATATATTGCGTAAATCACAACAATCAAAATAAAATTTATTTTTGATTCTCGTAATAAAATAAAATTGAAAATTTTAGCTAAAACCCAATATGCTAGTGTGTAAAAAATAATTCAAAACATTTTACTTCCTAAATTCCTTGATTAAGAAGCCGAATTTTCATGAGTGGCATATTAATATTTTTTTTCCTTTTTTCTTTTAACAATCTTGCCCTTAAAATATATTTTAGATATTTAAATCAGATTTATTGACGATTAATGTTAAAGTCTGTTCAATGATCATTGCTGGCCATCGTTCAATGATCAAATCTAGGTCATAAGGAATAAATTTACCTTCGAGAATACTATTCCAAACTTGTTGACCATCGCCAAAAGCATCAAAGTGAAAGCTTTTCGTTGAAAAAATTCAAGGTATCCATTGTTCAGTTGATGATTTCCTCCAACATTTGCAACATATTGGGGATATCTAGTTTATTGCTGTGGAATGTTTTTTTATGATTTGTTTGTTGAATTTGTGTTATCTTGGTTTATTTTAATTTTTTTATTTTTTTCCTCTTCCAGTTGGTGATTTGAATTGTTGTTTGTTGATTTATTTGTGAACTTGGAAGAAATCATAAAACTTTCTTCAGTTGATACTATTTTTTTTTACTAATTCCATATTCAATAAAATAGTAAAGTGTTACTCTAATAGTCAATAACATTTTATCGTAAATTATAGTAAAATATTAATTTTATGTCAATATCGACGTTAATTTATTTAATATTTTTTAAAAATAATTTCATAAACAATCTTATTTGATAGATCTTAATAAGAGAATTTTAAAAGGGAAAATTAGTCTAGGGTCCCTCTCCCACTTTTCATAATGGAAGAGATCCACCCCCATTTTAAAAATACTAATTTTATTAAAAACAATATTTAGATCAAAAGTTATATCATTTTAAAATTTAAAATATTAAATTACTCACTAAGGATATTTTGATAATAATAGTGTGTGTTTAATTTCTCAATAAAAACTTTTTAATGCATTAAAATTTTAGGGGTATTTTTTTTTAAGGTCATTGATATTATGATTTTATAGTATAAAGGACATCAAATATTTTCATGATGTCTAAGGTCCCTCAACATCAATCCAGAGAAAATTGGTCCAGAGAAAATTCAAGCTAGAGAAAATTGGTCCAGAGAAAATTCAAGTCAGAGAAAATTGGTCAAGAGAAATTTTGAATTTCTCTGGCCTCCTTAGCCTTTCATGGACATTGCCAGAGAAATTTCCTTAGCCTTTCATGGACTCCAGAGAAATTTTCAATTTCTCTGTCGTGGGTTTGATCCTCCACCAAATGTTGTTGAAAGCTTTCACTGTGTCATAGATACAAGGTTCTAAAAACGCTCCCAAATAAAATTACTTCTAACCCAGAGAAATTATGAACTTCCCAAAGAATTTCTTTGGGTTCAACCCAGAGAAAATTGAAATTTCTCTGCAGAGGAGGAGGTCTTGGAAATTCAATGAGATCAGATCTAATAAAGTTGGTATAGTTGAAAATTTCTCAGAATTCATTCATCAAATTTCACTTAACATTGAAATCTTTCTTCACAACCATAAAAAACAACAAGCAACCTTCATCATCATCATCATCTCCTTTCTACATCATCTGTAGCAGCACCATGAAAAGCAAAATAAGCAAGAGCACTTTGATAGCATTAACACAATTACACAACAAGATAAATGATTAATTGGAGATAGCATGAGACAATAACAAAACTTCCAAAGAAATTTGAACAACCAGAGAAATTTGAACAACCTAGAGACCTACTAGAGAAATTTGAACAAACCAAAGATCTACCAGAGAAATTTGAACAACCAGAGAAATTTGAAGGAAACTAAATTGCAAGATATCTCGGAGGAGAATGAGGGGCTGCGTATGAAGCTTGAGAAGAGCTTACCAAGCCAAAGAGAATATGAACTAGAAAAAGAACTGAAGAAATCAAAAGACAACATTGAACATTTGAGGGGCAAATTTGATGGATAAGGAGACGGAATTGCAAAATATATCAGAAAAAAATGAGATGTTGAAGTCAGAAACGAAGGGAAGAGAAATGGGGAAAAGTTTGAAAAAACACATCCAGAGGCACAGCCAGCAAGGACAGAAAAAGCAAACTCACACTTTGTAGGAAGAGATTAGGGAGAAAGAAATAGAAGAGAGTTTCCAGTATAAGAGAGAGCGGAGTCCTCTTCGTCGGCTTGTCGATTGCCGCGATTCCATTTCGGTGCTTTTGGAGTAACTCGTTGATTTGGTCTGTGTTCACAGCTCCATCAAGACCACGGTTTGTGGGTCTAGACATGTTTAAGCAAGAACAAGGTCTGATAGCTGTGAGCACGCTCACGAGAATGAAGGAAGAAGCTAGGGTTTGGGGTTGATGTAGGAGAGAGAGAGAAAGAGCAGAGAGTCAGAAGAGAGAGACTTCTTAAATTTCTCTGTGATATATGAGTTTGGGGTTGAAGGAGCTTAGATATTAAAAAATAATTTTGTGGATCTCTTCTATTACGAAAAGTGGGAGAGGGACCCTAGACTAATTTTTCTAAAATTTTACTATGAAGTGACTTTAGCTAAATTCCCCTAACTTCTTTGATTTTAGTATATTTTTATTAAATAAATTTGACAAAAATTAGTATTTTAAATGTTTTATGCATGTATACCTTGAGTTTAATCACAAAAGTGTATTTTTTTCATTTCACTTAACGGAAATTGACAGATAATTTAGATCAACAATTAAAATAAATTTATAAGTATTATAAATTAATAAAAAATATATAGTTAAGATTTTATTTCAGAAAAATTTAAATTTAAAAATGGTGTAAGTTTTTTAGTTAATTATAACATTTACTCATTGGTTTATGAAATGTCTACCTAACATTTATATAAATAAATTATTTAACTTCAAAATAATTGTAACAAAAAGTTGCAAATACGGGTTGGGCAACGGTTTATCCGAACCGTTCGGGCCGCTCAACCCGCCCAATCCGCATACAAATGGGTGGGTGGTTTGGCAAACATAATGCGGGCGGATGCGGTTTAAAATATGACAAATTTGCAAGTTGCGGGCGGGTCGCGGTTTAAATTTGCAAACCGCAAAAACCGTCCGCACTTTAATTATTATTGTTATTATTATTATTTTTTTATATACCAACTTTGTAACTTTAACAGGAGCCCCATTATGTTTTCTATGACACTAGGATCCTTATTTTTAAGTATTTCTCAACTTTCTTAATGCCGTAGAATTATCAAGTCCTAAACTTGATTTCTTATATATTTTCATTAGTGACTCATCCACTTTTTTCTAATAAAATTTTTCTGCTGATGGTCGATGGAGCTTCTAGTTTGATTATTGATTACTGAACTGGCAATTCTAATTGCGTACAACCTTTAATGCATTGATATATATTTTTTAATGCATCGATATACATTTTTTTCATGGCAAAAATGCTAGTATAGAGTCTATTTGTTTTAGGTACTTTCATTTAATGCATTGATATTCAATTTTTATTTGTAAACTCATCAGAAATTTGTTGCCAAATAATCACAAATATATAAAATGAATCTGATGCCTAAATTCGATGGGAAAAAAAACTCAAAAATTAATTTTTAAAGAAAAAAGTGTAAACCGCAAACCGCCCGCACATACGCAAACCCTATCCGCATAAATCGCAAACCGCACTGCAGGCGGTTGCGGGTTGATTTTTTCCCAAACCGCATAGATACGGACGGGTCAAAACCAAACCGCAAACCGCACAAAAC